AACGTGGGAGCCCTCAAAGAATGTCGTGAGGGGCCCACAGAGGCCGTCGTGAGGGCTCTCAGAGTCAGATGCCGCCCAAAAAGTCGTTGTATGGGCCGAGAGACCGGCATGGGGAGCACCCGACCGTACTGGACTCTCAATAGTCCCAGATCGGCTTTTGTCTGTAATCACAAGTATGTAATAAATGATTTGACGGGATGCTTGAAGGACAGCCTACGAATTTAGGGGGGCGTCTTTCCCCATCAGGACAGGGGGCATCTTACCCCAAGGTACCGAAGTAACATTAAATCAGTACAATTTGTTAGCCATAAAACTACACCCTGAAATAAACTGTTTGGGACACAGTACACGCATGTTAATGTATCACGACTAATACGACTATAGCAAGGGACGCAAAAATTATCTACCTTCTTTGATATTTACAATGTTTTGACACCAAAATATTTTTTGAAAGCAGCAAATAAAAAACATGCAATCACTAGCCAGCCGTTGCCCAACTGAGCTTCGCAAATTTTTGTGCAGTTAACAAGGCAGGCTTCCGCTTTATCGCTAAGAACATTAATTTCCAGGTTCGATTCTTTGTTTCGCCGCTAGAGGGGGTGGGGCGTCTTTCCCACCCTGGGCATCTTACCCCACTCTCCCCTACGTCTAAATCGGCACTTCGACCAATCGTCTGATTTACCACGGCTGACTTTCGATGGCATTTGCTTGGACGGCCACTCTCTGACTCGAGTTCCCTAAATCACATAAACTGTTCGGATCGTGGTAAACTACATTTGATATGTCATCCAATATCACAACAGAAATGCTGCAGTGTTCCGCAACGACGCAGATCACAGTTTCGACACCATGGGGTCTAGGTTGTACAATTTCGATGATGCATGGCAAGTGCCAACGCTTGTGTCACACAATAAAGAAAGAAAGACTAGGAGAACGCAGATTCCCGATCCCGAGTCTCCGGTTCATTCTGTTTACAATGTACTTACAAGGATGCTTTCTCAAGTTAATGTTAGCTGCAGCTGACTTTGTTAGCTCAATGTTGATGACCTTTTTCTCGACGACGGACCGCCGGCGCCACCGACGTCTCTGCGCGCTGTCCTAGCGCCAGCTTCAGCTCAAGAGCCCTTATGACCTTACGGTTTATAACTCTTTATGGCCTTATTACTAGTAATGTGCCCTGACACAGTCTTGGAAAATGGCTCTTGATGCAGAAAAGATCATAATGAGCTTTCATTGGGTAAATTCTTACCTCATTCAACAATTACCACAAACCTTAATAGCTTTTGCCACAAATTTTACCAATCACCATCTCGTCGCCACTCGAGACGGTTCTTTCCAACTGGTAGTGCCGGATCAATATTACTTTGGTGCCGGATCACTCCACAGGTAGAACTTCATCACCGCATTACATGTCGGTAAAGTAACGTCTGCACGTTCGATTCCTCTCCCGAGACGAGGCTGCCTTCGTGACCGGCCGGTGGAACCTTATCCGAGCGAGTCGCTATCGACCGAGGTAGGTAGCGCTGATCAAAACACGCACCGCCGGCTCCCGAGCACGTCGGCAGCCGCGCCAGAGCACCGCCATAGCACCGCCAGAGCACGAACAGAGCACCGCCAGAGCACCGCCAGAGCACCGCCAGAGCACCGCCAGAGCACCGCCAGAGCACGGCCAGAGCACGGCCAGAGCGCAGACAGAACACAGACAGAGCACGACCAGAGCACGACCAGAGCACGGCCAGAGCACGGTCAGAGCACGTCCAGAGCACAGGCAGAGCACGGACAGAATGCAGACTGAACACGGACAAAACATGAGCAGAAGATGTACAGAACATAGACAGAACACGGATAGAGCACGCGGACAGAACGCTGACAGAGGATTTGGGAGCACGGCCAGAGCACGGATAGCACACCGACAGAACACAAAACACGGACGAAACACAGAACCCGGACAGAACATGGTCAGAACAAGGACAAAACACGGAAAGAACACGTATCGAAGATGGACAGAACACGGGTAGATCACGGATAGAGCATGGACAGAACACAGACAGAACCCGGACAGAACACTGACAGAGGATGAACGGAGCACGGCCAGAGCACGGACAGAACGCGAACAAGGCTCTGTCCCTTCGGATTTGATCGCACTGGGCTCGGTCTTTTGGTATAAAATCGAACAAAACACGATTTTGCTTTCCTCGGACTCTGACAAAACTAAGCGAGATGCGGTCTCCGGGGGCAGAGCCAGACAGCCGGGTCTGTAGTTAGGAAGTCATTGGCACGCTCAGCGCACCCTCCGGGGACTCCAAAAGGTCACAGAGAGGTCAACGAGGCGAGTGTGTATCGTCAAAAGCGCCAGCTGAGCACGTTCAATGATTGCACTGCGCTCTTTGGGCCTCCAGAGGACGGCGGAGCATCCCAGGGTCGGAGTGTGCTGACGGAGCAGCGGGTGTTTTCTGTGACCGGGGACTGCTGTCATTAGACGTGAGAGGGATGCCATCGTCGGCCACCCTACAGGGGTCGCTGGACCAGGATCTACTCAACCGATAGTCCCGTGGTTAGACTTACAATTGAAGTCGTTACTGAGAAAAGGCAGCATTACATCCGAGACGAATGCTGATGCTTAGTGGCTCAGCCGACGGAGCTAGTGCCGATGGAGCGAGGCTTCCTCCAGAAGGTGGGAGTAAAAGGAACTTCGGTTAGGTGGACTAAATACATGGAAAAAGTGTAGGATTCATGGAGAATCCCGACAGCATGGTCTGAACAAATCGTCATTTTAACCCTCGCATGTGCAGGGGGGGTCGGATGGACCCCCATGGTTTTTCGCAAATAACTCGCGTAAAAAGCGGCCGATTGCGACGAAACTTTCAGTTCCCTCGAGTTTATCAATTTTACACCTACTCTGGAAATTTCATGACCATGACCCAAGTGACCTTTGACCTGTGACCTATTTCTCCAGGCCATGTTTGGCCGGAATCGCTATTCGGCGTATGTCGGCTTGCATTAGCCGCGCGTTTGCAAGCTTTTCGTGGTATCAAACCTTCAAACATGTAATTCGATGTTGCTCCCATGTAGGTGCCTTCGTAACATGTTACGAAGCTGTCAGAGGCGGTTGACACCTACTACGAATACCCGTCACGACCCCTACTGGTTGACCTGACCTGACCTGACCCGACCTGGTCTAAATGCTTAAAGACATCATCTGTGATCAAAACTAACACGATATTTGTGAATTGTGATCAGCATCCCGAAAAACCCCATTAGCAGCCACACTTTACGACTTCCGAACAGGTCCCGATATTCCCGACTTTTGGGTCATTGACCTGACCTGGAAGGTCAACCAATGACAGGACCTTCATATTGGGTATCATCGGCTTCGTCTCGTGACGGGCAGCACGCTCGTTTTTTCCGCAAAGCTCTAGCTCGATCAGGGGCCAAACGGTAAGGGGGGGGGGGTCCAACCGACCCCCTCCCCCTACACGTTAGAAGCTGGCAAACGCCGCACACATGCGAGGGTTAATTCATTTGATTATATAACCTTTATGAGATTTGTTGATCGGATTGTTGGTTTCACGTCAGCCAGTGCCTAAGATACTAATTATTATCTTACACAGCTTCTGGCTTGAACATTAATCTAAGCGTTCTTAATTATTGGAAAAGTTGTATGTATGTATTATCAGTCACGCAAAGGCATTACCTTGTAATGCACCTTGCTATAGAGATTAAATACACATCTGGAATCCATATCGAGCGACCGAAAGAGTTACGCAAGTTAAACAAGTAGGTACACAACTTATGCATGCAGTTCAAGAAACAGCTCCGAACTTGCATCCTCCAAGAAGTTGGTTCGAGAGTGGCTGAGAGCGATATACGTTCTTCACTCTTCCATCGCCTTCAATTACTGTAAGTAAGCACACATAACGCGACGTGAAACAGGCTGCCTGACGTGTTTGAAGGTTCAGTAGAATGCAAACGGACAAACTGCAGCCTTAGTCGACCATCATAGGAAGCTAGAAATGCTATAACACATGATGGACGGAATTTGTGGCGCATGCAGGCCGCTATTGGTCTTTTTTCGACAATATCCCCTTCTGATGAAGTTGACATTGGCGCTCGAAACAGAAAGGATTCCTATATCCTAATTACAATTCATGATTTCCTTGTCACTCAAACCTGTCTAGTGTTCACCGCCTGAGAATGACGTATACCGCCTACGTCTACTATCTTGTGTGTGTGTTTAGTAGGACACCGGCCTTCAAAATCTTGTATACCTAATTTGTTCTCCACAACAACGTTGAATCTAGGCGTAGATGATACGCATTTGAAGATTTGATACTGAAATCGGACGCTATAACAAGGGACAATGCCGACTCGTTTGGCGGATGATGGCTTCTGCGACCGGTTTTTCGCTGGATGACATCTTAGGAATCCTTAGCGGTAAGGGCCTCCAATTGACCGGGCTATGTCCAATCACAGATGATGAAACGTCCCCTCGAGCCGCGGCTGAGCGCCAAATAAACTCGTAGCTGCCCGCTGCTGGCTGGATCATTCAGTCAATGCTGAGGTGTGCCAGTGTGCCACTCATAGCTGAAAACAGATAGGTGTATAATGACAGTGCTAACGCAGTAACTGTGACCTGTATGCGATTGGAAACGGGCCTACACTTCACAGATATGCCTTTTGAATAGTAGGAGTTTTGCTTAACTTGAAAGGTAAATAATTCATTGGTGTGGCCGAAAACGATGAGTATCATGCGACCGATCTAGCGGCGTCATTGATCTGAACTTCTCCATTGAGGTTACCGAGCTTGACTATTCCAGTAACGTCATTCGTCTACACTGGCTCATATGTGGTCCAGTGACGTACTTTTCTTGGACTGATCAATATACGTAGCTTGGCTTCAATGACCCAATGACATCACCAATCAGCACTGATTTACCTCAATGACATCATTGTGTTCTGGCCAGTGACGCCATCAATGTGTATCTGTGTGTTCCGCACAGGTCGACTGATGGCCAAACAGCGCGTGGCGCTCGAGTGTCTGTCTTACCACGCCACGGCCAGCGCCGAGAGCACGGCAGAGCTGGTCAGTCGACACGTGCCCTCCGCGCTGCAGCTCAACCTGTACAGGTCAGTCGACACGTGCCCTCCGCGCTGCAGCTCAACCTGTATAGGTCAGTGAACACGTGACCTGTGCCCTACAACTCGACCTGAACAGGTCAGCAGACATGTGCTTGGATCCGAGAGCTGGATCTATGATCTCAGTGGATCTCTCGACAAAATAGAGGGGTTGGATCTATGATCCGAGTGGATCTCTCGACAAAATTCAGGGGTTGGATCTATGATCCGAATGGATCTCTCGACAAAATTTAGGGGTCGGATCTATGATCTCTGTGGATCCAGCGGGCAAAAATTTGTGGAGGACCTATGATCTGTATGGATCTCACGACAACATGTAGCCAATGAAACCCTTATCCTACATAATTGTACACCTTACAGTGCAATACAATTGAGAATTATCACTTGTGGACATGGTTATTGGTTAAGACCACTTGTAATCATTAGGTATCATCATTAAATTTGAATTTAAATAAACAACATTTGTACTACATTTAAAATAAAACAAGAACATGCACATTGCTACTTTTTGTGACCAATTGTAACTTTTTCATGACAGCACTGATGACAATCTTATCAACAAGCTACAGCCACTTTAATTCAATGAACAAACAGTACAGACAGATGCAGTGGCAGCAGGGCACTGCAGATTTTCATTTTGGTCCCATTCTTTCCATGCAACGCCAGTAGGGCTAATGTTAAAATGCCAAAATCTATGGGGGGTACTGTACCCTGGTGCCCCCCCCCCCTGTTCTGCCGCCTATGAACAGATGTTAGTAAATCAAACCTGGAAGCCAAATAGGTCAGTTTTGTTAAAAAATAATCCAGCAATCCACTTCTGCCAGGTATGAAATCCCACTCCAGAATGTTCGTATGAGCTATTAGTATGTGCAACACAATTTTGATTTAGTAAGAATAGCAACCAACCTCTAATACTTTCCTAATAAAATTACAAGTTCAAAAATGGCATCAACTTCTTCAGATTACCTACTTTTGGCATCGTGCCACGTGTGGTGCCATGCTGTGCTTTTGTTATGAGAGAGCCTCCCAAAAAAAGACAAACGAAATTCACAGCTCACGTTTTGGTAAGATGGTTTTATTACGTCATTATCGTTTGACCAATGAAAAATCTTAATTTGACCAAAACCGTAATGATTCCAAAAGATTCCCCGTAATAGGCCCTTTAAAGGGAGATAATGAGCTTTCTTTTTTCTTAAATAAAAATTACTCGACATCTATACTATTTCTACTGTAGTTTCTGTAAAATATGAAAATTTCCTAGCACATTTTCGTATGTGAAAAAGGTTTTTATTTTTGCAAAAAAGAAGCAGTACTTGCAGTACTTGTAACACCCACCGAAATGCGTTGTCCTTCTCTATAAAAAAGTCGCAGTATATGGCGCTTTTGTTTCAAACAGCGACGCTTGGGTTTTTGTTTATGTTATCGCCTTGTCGTTGCTTGGTTGTAAGGATTCTAATTTGAATTAGAGTTAATTCGGTTTAGAATTAATTAGATTCTAATTCGGGGGTACATAGTGCCTACTCTTCTTTGTTTCCAAGTATTATTTTGCGCCACAAATGAACGGCATGCGCCAGAAACGCAGCCAAATCTTGCGATTGCGACTACGAAATTCATTATTTTGGCGTCAGAGCCTGAAGCGAAAAATACAAGCATATTTATTTCAAGAAGACTTCAGGTTTGTCGAACGGTGTTATGAGAATTTTGATAACAGTACTGCATAAGTTTTTCAGTGATGCCGCAAAAGTGTTGTATCTATCTTCTTTTATTGTGCAGTCGGCGGGACCGATTCAAAATTGAGTCGTTGCTACTAAAATAGCAGCATATGGCGTCAGATGATGAACAGGAAAAAAAGTTGCGTAAATTTAGACATAAACCACCCCCAAACCATGAATATCTTTTGAAGGCACTATAGACGACCATTAACTAACTAGATGTGATGAAGATCAAATGTAAGGAATTCGCTCATTTTACAAAATTACATGCAAGTACCAAAAAGTGATGTAAGTACTTATTCAACGGTCATTTTCAGCGCTCCCCGCTAACGTGACCTCAAGTTGAGATATTTGCGGCAAGGTACCGAATTGAGCAAAATGGTTTTAATTTACATTATAACTTGTTGTGTTTTGTCAGAAAATGGTCCTAACTCAGATTTTGTGGAAAAAGGTCATTATCTCCCTTTAAACTAATGACGTAAGATATTGTTATTCTTTTGAAAAGTGAATAAAATAAAGATGCAAGGCGCACACCGCTCAGGAACATGTAAAACCGTTTCAGCTTACGCTTACGTCATTAAATTTAACGCTACAAAGATGATATTCACAAGCAATCGTATCGTAAAATTACATATGTGAGGCAGAAAAAATGAACATTCTTTTAAAAAAAATCTCCAGACTTTTGAATTTCCAGTTTGATTTTTACTTATTTTCATTATACTCGAAGGTAAAACGCCTAGCTCATTTGTTATTTGAAATGACGTCACGAGTTCTATTTAGATACTGAATAATCATTTTACGGTAAATATCCAAGGCCATTACAATTGATATTTCGCTTCCCATCCCTTCCGCAGGCTGTTGAATATTTTTATACTTTTGTTTTTATCTCAGATATCTCAGTTTATTTTATCAAATATTTCTTTCAATAGATTGAAATACCTTTACCTAACCAAGCCACATGTGTCAATATCATCTTTGATCTTTTATTGTTTATCAATCAATTGTGGTAGCTGGAAACTGGAAAGCCTCATGGTTGTCTAATGCAAGATTGTCTTATCAATATCATTATGTAGATTCTAACATGAATTGTGATGTGGTAGGTACCTAGTTATGTATTGTTCATTAGTCATTACTTTGACTTACCTCTATGTTAAATGTTAATGCAAACTTTTCTGTTGGTATGTGAACTGTGAACAATCTTCATGTCACTCAATTCTCTCAAGTTGTGACCGTCATGAGCCTCCTTTATTTTGTATTCTGTATAATGCAACTGGATAATATGGCCTTGGCCTAATATGGCCTTTACTAATATGGCCTTTGTATAAGATTGTTTGTTTCTAACCATACTTTGGTACTCATAACTTCTTATGAAAGAAAGTTGTTAACATTTTGAGCACCTATAAGCTATGATCCCAATGGATCTCACGACAAAATTGGGGAGCCAGATCTATGATCCGAGTGGATCTAGCGACAAAATTGAAGGGTCAGATCTATGATCCCAGTAGATCTCTCGACAAAATTGAGGGGTTGGATCTATGATCTGAATGGATCTCGGATCGGGATCCATGGGATCGGATCTCAGACCCATTTTTCCGGATCCAAGCACATGTCTGCAGGTCAGTCGACACGTGACCTGGGCACTACAGCTAAACCTGTACAGGTCAGTGGACACGTGACCTGGGCTGTGCAACTCGACCTAAACATATCAGTCGACACGTGACATCTATCATTTCAGCTCGACATGTTCATAGACTAATGAGTCGTTGGAGCGTGTCATGCTTGGCAGTGCTTGTTGTTACTCACTCAGTACTTGCTGATTTACTGGTTCAAAATAGCGCCGCTGGTCAAGTTATAATGTTGTTTCAAAGTAATTGCCTGGAAGTTTGTTAATACACCCTATCAATTATCACGTTGTTTTTGTAGTGCTGTTGTTGACTGCGTCTGGCGCGTTTCAGTCATCAGTTTGATGACATGGAGCTGGACAACAAGGACACGTGTACGGCAGCCATCAGGATGTTCAAGGACATGAACATGATCAAGAAGTTCAGAATTCCTTACGAAGTGAGTGATGTATAATTTATCTCGGGATATGGGACTGTAGGAAGGAAGGATAAAAACTACGCAAGCTGTCAACCGCAGACACGTTTAATTTGTACTTTCTTGCAAGGGCTTTCTGACATGCAAATCCTTTTCTTCTCAAGTTTGGAACACCTCTGTCTTTGGCGTCAGTAAGTCACACACCGTCCGTTTTCACGATGTTTTCTGTTTCCGCCCAGGTGCTTTGCCGCTGGATTCTCAGCGTACAGAAAAACTACCGTCCAGTCAAGTATCACAACTGGAGACACGCTCTGAACGTTACACAGACCATGTTTGCACTGCTCAGAACGGGCAAAATGGCCGGCTTCATATCAGATCAAGAGGTAAGGAACTGTTCTAATTCAGTAACCTAAACAGAAGTTAACGACACTTTAATGGACCTTGTAGCTTGCATGTTTGTCAAAGAGCATATTCATTCAGGTCAGAAACCCACAAGTTTGTACTTTTGACAAAATATTTAACCCGCGCCGTGCTGGTGGCCTGAACTTTCCGCCGAGTGCTGGGGGGGGGCGTTTTCACGCCCCCCCGTCTAACTCGGCTCCTGGGCCACGTAGCGACACGCGGTAAGCGGCAATCGAAAGAGCGTCAAAAATAAGGACGAAAACACTTCGGTCATTTTTTGGGTCAGGTCAAAGGTCAGGTCACCAGAGGTCACCAAAGGTAAAATGTTGACTATTTCAACATTTTGGAAACTGCCAACGGCTATCTCGGGAACCGATAGAGCTACAGCGCCGCGGAAAAGCGCATTCGATAGCCCTTTTACAGACCTTTCTGAGTAATGTTCTCAGATTTGACCTCAGGTCAACGGTTTAGCCTCTAGAGGGCAAAAACTCCAAAAATAGCCGTTTTTACGAAAAACGTTTTTTCGTCAATAACTTTTGACTCATAAGCGCCATGACATTACTTTTGCCAGCATCGTGCTCCTCTCGTCGAGACGCGTCGAATGAACTATTTGTTGACCTTGAAAGGTCATTTTGAAAATTTGACCTCAGGTCAAGGTCATGACCTGACCGAAAAGGGTCATGTTGCATATCAGTCGATCCGTATCGTCGAGCTGAACACATCTGACGTGTTTTCACCGCTCTAGCACGTCTCTATCAAAAGTTATAGCCAAAAAACTGCTGGCGACCGTTCATGACCTGAGATGACCTCAGGGGCACACAGAGGGGTCACAGGTGCATTTTTCCTATTCAGTGTGTCATGTTTACCTATGAACCGATGTTTGAGAGCGTTTTGAACGATATTCGTCCAAAAGAGGCGCATTTCAATTTTCTCCCATTGACTTATAATGGAGAGGTCGCAAAATTGACCTGACCTTAGGTCACAGATATCAAAAATCCGAGATATACATTTTATACATACTGTTACTCATATCAATCGCTGAAAGTTTCAAAGTGATCGTTCAGTCGGTGTAGCTATAGCGAGGCTTTGAACTTTTTCTGAGGTAAGGTCACTTGACGTGACCTGGTGACCTGACCTTGAACGGCCTAGGTCTGAAATTTTCACAACATGTGCGGAAATGATGTAGGAACACGTGTACCAAAAACGGCGGCGCTGCGCGCCGCCGTTTTTGAGATATTTGCGAAAAACCTGAGGGGGGGGGCGTAAAAACGCCCCCCCCCAGCACGGCGCGGGTTAAAGCAACTAGTGCAATTCGTGATGCTTGTAAGGAACAGCGCTGATACATCCCTCGCATACGTACGATGATATTTATGTCGAGCCGACGCAAGTCGCCTCCACCAGATTAGAGTTTTGGACTGACGCGCATAACTAATTAAGCATTTGATGGTAGTTCTTCATGTGCGTGAGGGGTGGCTAATTTGTCTCATTTCTAATCCATCGCGTGTCTACCCGGTATTAGCTTCACTCACGATAAAACGTTTTATTCTTCCGCTCCGCATACACCTGGATGCACCATCTAAGAATTATGTTTAACGGCCAGAACAAGCAAAATTGGAGCGATCATGCGATTTGTTCAAGGAAATTGCCATCACTTCCAATCATTGAGTGGAATCTCCTTTCGACTATTCAAGCAAGTAACTTTTTAGAATTTCGATGGTCGGGTATCATCAATCATGTTTAAATATTGTACATGCATTGGTTTACATGCGTATTGACATGCCTACTCGTTTGTCATTCACCGCTCAAGCTACATTTTTTTGCCTCTGACTTTGACTTAAATGTACCACTGACAATGAAGAGAAGCACGCGTCTCTGCCTCCAGGACACACAGGTGACGTTATGAGACGTTCATGGGAGAGAGAGATGACACCAGCTCTCCGAGCATTTGATTAAGACTTCGCTGATTTGTGACGTTAATATGGGAATGTCCCTGTAGAAAAACAAGTGGATAAAATTGCTCTTCAACGACATCGAGCACCCATCTCACCACCAGCGCTCGAGTTATCGTCAACCGGTCGCCAGGACTGAGACGAAGTTGCATATTCCACTCGACCGTGCCAATCAAGTGGAGATTACTCGGGGTACCCTGGGACATTGCACATCGAGCCCCTGAATCGGCAGTGGATCGGGAACGGGGAAGTCCCACACCGTACCACTGATTGACTCGGCTCTGTCATAAGCACATATGCTGATTCGAAATTTGTGGAGATCGTTCGCCGAGATAAAATGTGACAAATACCTGTATGATCCATAACGGCTGTTCGTACAGTACGAGAGGTTTCATGTTGTCATCTAGGCTTACAACGTGCATACTGCCTTTGTGAGGTTTATTTGTTTGCTAGGTGAGTACAGTATAAGCTGGATGCCATGAGATCGGTGCAATCTTATGCTACATGTTCGGCTGAGTGTAATATTGTAGATATGTAGCCCAGACATAAAGTGGCCTGAAGCACATTTCCTGCAAACTAGGCATGCAGTCATCCAATTGACCTTTTTCACTGCCCTCCATCCTAATTCCTAATGCATACACTCCTGCACTCCCAAGACTTGGCCCATACATTTCATCCAATTTCGTCAGAAGCCGCGAACACTGTTGCATTCTATACATCAGACGGTGTTGGCATCCATTTCACATTGCATTGCATTCTCATACCTCACCAAAGATCAGACGATCCATCAGATTATCCCGGCTCCTCGGGAAGGCACTTTAACAACGCGTGTCCAGGTCGACACCAAAATGGTATACTGTCAGCGAGAAGCTATCCCGTTGACTGGGTGATCAAAGGGGAAAAGCACAAGCCCGGGGATAGCTCAAACAACGCGGCTGGCGCACCTCAGCTGCGTGCGAGCGCTACGCCGCGCTGTGCCATGCTGCGGACGGGGGCTTCAATTAGGCGGGTCTGTGCCCCACCGCGCTGATCGATTGGCTCGTCTGTGTTGTCTCAGCGCTGACCTCCAATCGGCAGTCCACTGGCACCGCCAGATTGACTTTCCACAGACACACACACAAACACACACACAGCCGTGTGCAAACACAAACAGCGCCACAGACACCGCTGGTCAGCCCCCTGCGGCAAACAAACAGACACACAGACAGACAGACAGACAGACAGACAGACAGACAGACGACAGACAGACGACAGACAGACAGACAGACAGACAGACAGACAGACAGACAGACAGACAGACAGACAGACAGACAGACAGACAGACAGACAGACAGACAGACAGACAGACAGACAGACGGACGGACGGACGGACGGACGGACGGACGGACTAATGGACGGGCCTAGACAAACAATTCCAGCCACCATTGAAATATTGAAACAACATTGAGCAATTGACAACTTTTCAGCATTTGTACTTACCTTAGCGAAGCAATGTAGAATTGGCATTGTGGTTCGTCTGTGCTGCACTTCGTCAGGCTTGCATACTTGCATAATTCGTCAGACTTCAAACAAGCTTCGTCAGTTCCTTAGGCTGGGGGGATCCATGTGATCGCAAGGCACCTCGCAGTTGCGATCAAACGTAAGTTGAATCGGAACAGATATTGGAGGGATCCATCACATCGTAAGCTAAGTAGATACGCAAGTTGTATCGCAAATGGTGAAGATACGAACTAACTTTACGAATCTTCTCGGTCGATCGGAAGGCCGATCGTAGCGAAGCTTTACCTCTTTCTCAAGAGAAAAATATAAGAAATTTTCAAAATTTTCACAAAACCGAAATATATGTTAAACAAATATGGTTGATGAACACGTGTGCAAAATTTTAACACGCGCAGTGGAAGGGGGGGGGGCGGATTTCGCCCACCCCTCATGTTTTTCGCCAATAACTCGCGCCGCAAACATGATATTAATGTGAAATTTTGGCTACCTGCCCAGAATTGAATTGCAGATCTTCTCGTGCAAGAAATAAGAAAATCGGTTCACAACTTTTCTAGTAAGAGTGATGTAAAGTCAAACATCCTGCCGCCGCGGCGGCGCGGCGGCGCGGCGGCCGGCGCTAGCCGTTACGCGCCGCCTGAATTGTAGACTGTGCCGGGGCGGGACGGTTCCGTCTTTACATCGCGCTCCTTACCGCTGATTGTGCTAGATTCGCGTCAAATTTGGTGAGGAGACTGAGAAATGTGCAGGAAATCATATGGTCAAAGAATTTTGAAAATCGGCCGGTAACTACTTGAGTTATGAGTGTGTAAACACAAAATTGTGATTGCCGTATTTCCCGCGTCGGCCGATGCCGCTTCAGCCGGCGACATCTTACCCTTAGCAGGCTTCTAACTGCCATATTTATTGTTGGATTAACTAGAAATTCACCTTACATAGTCACAAATGTTTGTTCTTTTGTATAGTGAAAGAAAAAAGAAAATCGGCCGGTAACTTTTTGAGTTATCGGCGTGTAAACGCAAAAAAGTCGCTAATATGGCAGATTTGACCACATTTGACCTCATTTGACCTTGAAGATATTGACCTAGGGTCATGAAATTCACACACAACAGAGTTCCCCATGGCCCCCACCTACCCTCCAAATTTCGTTTTTCTAGCTCCAGTGGGAGCTGAGATCTTAGGGGGGGGGGCGACATCCGCCCCCCCCCCTTCCACTGGGCGTAGTACTGGCAACCCTTCCACTGCGCGTGTTAAAGGTAGTGTGCCAGCTTTCTTGGACCGTATGGAGTTAATGGCCCAGATAAGGAGAACCGGATTTTTAGAACTTATCCATGCCTTCAAAACTCATGGAAACGTCTTAAATTCTTCAAATTTTGAGTACCCCAGTGCGAAATTCGCCCCGACGGGTTGTCGGTCGTACCCCAACCACATTTCACACCACTATGAACAATAAATGCACACACTGAAATCGCTATTACCGATATGCTCATCCAATCAAGTTTCGATAAACCCGTTCATCATCAGCTCCTGCGGTT